CTGAATTCAGACGGAGCTTGAACATCAGCTGTGTAGATGATTAATGCCCCAGCCTCTCTGGACACCTGGGGTCTGTTTGACTGGGGTCACAGCTGGAATGAAGTTGGCAGGTCTCTGCAAAGTTGCCCTCACAAAGGGCCTGATCCCAAGTTTAGTGGTGTCAGTGGACAGGCTTTCATCTTCAGCACACTTAAGGTCAGGCCTGTGCCCCTCGTGATCTAGAATCAGAGGCGATGCAGGTTGGAAGGGCTCTCAGGAGGTTACATCTAGTCCGACCCCCTGCTCCAAGCAGGACTAGCCCCAGCTACATCATCCCAGCCGAAGCTTTGTCTACCTGGGTCTTAAAAACCCCAAGGATGGGAGTCCACCACCTCTCTGGGTGACCTGTTCCAGTGCTTCACCACCCTCCTAGTAAGAAAGATTTTCCTAATACCCAACCTAAACTTTCCTTGTCGAAACTTGAGACCATTGCTCCTTGTTCTGTCGTCTGCCACTAGCTCCATTCTCTAGGTAAAGATTAGAGAAGACATTGGCTGAACTCCCCGGGAATCCTGTGGTAGGGCCAGGTTGCGTTGGTTGAGTTAAACTTGAGTTGTGTTGGGCTGCCCGGGCAGCACTAGCCCAAAGGAACAAAGAAACAAGGGTGTTTCAGGTCCCTGCTGCACAGGTCACCTGGAAGAGCTCGGACCCTGCCTGGAAGTGGAGAGCTTCCTGGTGGGCAGAGCAACCTGGAGGCTCAGGACTGATGGGGCAGGATGCCCAGCTCAGGAGCCTGCCATGCGAGAAGGAAGCTTGCATGGGAAGTGTCTGCCCTGGGCCACATTCTCACTTCCACCCCTCCTGAGTGTCAGTAACCAGGCAGCTGGGCCCGGGACAGCTCCTCCGTGCCATAAGTCCTTGCACTTGGGGCTTTCAGTGGATTTTCCTCCTTGGAGCCCTCAATGTTGCTGGACTGTGCTAAGTGGCAGTGACCACCCATCAGACTCTCTGCGGGACAGCACGCCTCTTCCTGGCCAATACATGCATGGTCCAGAGAGTCAGAAGCACAGATGCTTTTGTTCCCACCTAAGTATATAGAAATGTATTTGAGCATAGTCCTGGCACCCGCCCTAAAGAGGAGCAGAGCCATTGCCAGGAAGTTCGCTTTGGACTTTTGCTGTAGGGCATAAATTGAAACAAGTCCCCAGCACTTGTCTCGTGCCTTCCATCAGCAGTTTTTAGTTGGCTTTGTAAAGGTCAGTATCTTTAGTCCTTCTCTATTGATGGGAAGAATAGAGGGATGATGCGATTTGCCCAAGGTCAGGGAGCAGGGCAGTGGCAGAGGCCAGAAAAGAGCCCAGCTCTATTAAGGGGCTCCAGTTAGTAAAGGCTTTTTGGGGCTGTCACCTGCAATGCTCACCTCAAGAGGACATAATCGGCCATCCGGGTCTTCCTCATTGCCCTGGTCCCTCTAGCATTAAGACCTCCTGGCCCTTTTCTCCTCCTGTTGAGGATGTGCTCAGTGTGGTTCACTGAGCACATCGAGATCCCGGCTCAGATCAGAAGCGATGGGTGATTAAAGGGAGTTGTAGGTGGTTGTTGCTAGGCTACAGACTCTCTCAATCTGCTCTCGCAGTGGAAGGGCTCCATGGCGGGGAGATCTGAAGAGGTGCAGCCAGGACCAGCGGCACGCACAAGTGCTTCCTGCACTGTCTGTGCACTGAGACCCACCCGAGATTGTGTGTGGCTTCTAATGTTGGGGTCTGGCTGCTGCTGAGAGGGACTGTGGGATACTAGGAAGTCCTGCGATAGAGCCTAGCCCTGGAGCCTGCGAGCTCTTGATCCATAGCCGTGATTTATAGGACTGCAAATAGCAGTGCGACCTCCACAAGGAGGGTGCTGGTCTCCTGCTCGTGCAGTGCAAGGGTGCCTGGGGGCAAGCTGTTTGCTTCTTCCCCGGTCCTAGTGGCAGAGAGGAAATTCAGTTGGCCCTCCCAGGGACCACCGAGGGTCTCTTGCTTTGCTTGACTTGCCCTTGCCTAGGAAATAGAGGTCCCTGACCCTGTAGCCCTCTCTGTAAGAGACACGGATGCCGTGTTCAGCCTTAAGACAATAGGTGAGGAGAGGTGATGGCAGCACAGAGGAGTTTGATGAGAACATCTCCAGGGCAGTCGGGTTTCCAAGGGTTAGTGAAAGGGGGCTCCGGGGCAGACCAAGCAGAGCTGGGGTCTGGATTCCTGCTTTCACTCTGTCTCCCATCCCGTGTGACCCCAGGCTCCCTATTGCCTCTGTCCTTCCCCTCCTTGGTGAAGACCCTGGGAGACCACGACAGCACTACCAACGCCACCAAAATGTCAAATGGAGCGAGGGCAATGGGGACAAAGGGTTTTGCTGCGCAGGCCAGTAAACATCCGCGCGTGCTTCCTTTGTTAACAAATATCCGCTCATCCCTAACGCCACAAGCCCAAGCTGCAGGGACCAGTTTGGGATGCTGGAGAGAACGATTGTGTGCCGCTGCCAGGTGTGTGCCCACAACCCACGTTGTGTGGCTGTCTGTGTTTGCGGAGGATGGGGGGAGGGAGAAACCCGACTTGACTTTCAGCCCAGCTACAGAGCAGCTCCGGTTATGTAATGAAGGTTGAGCTCTCCATGCAGCGTGCCCCTATTCATGCCTAGGTGTGTGGGTGGGCAGCTGCCTCGCTCAATCCCCTCCTGTGTCTCTCTTTCTCCCTTCATTTATTCATCTCATCTGCATGTTTAACAGCCGCTCGGAGAGAGGGAACAATAATCCCGGGTCTACAATGGGAGCTTGTGCCTCTCACTCTCTCCTAATGGGCTGCTCTTTGGATCCCTTACAGTTCAGCTGTAACACTGCGCGAGGCACAGCCGGAGAGCCGTGGCTGCGGGGCTGGAGGGGTTGCACGCTGGATGCCCCCAGCACGGGGTCCCCGGGCAGGCTTCTCTGCGGGCGCAGGACGTGGTAGACACCGGGCAGGAATGACGAAGGAGAGCAATCGTGTCGGAGAAGAATTCAACAAAGAAAAGTTCCTTCTAAGCCAGGAAACCCCCGAGCCAGGCAGAGAGCCGACAGTTTGCAGCATCTTCTCGTTGAATGTCACTCGGGGGCGGGGACGCACGTTAAACCCTGCTAATGAACTGAATCCAACCTTATTTGCCTTTCCTTTTTAGGACCGGTCTCTGTGTGAGCCTCTGGCGGATGGGGAACTGCAGGATTAATGGAGACGCGCTGAAAGGTACCGGCCTTGCTTCCATGTGTGTGCGTGTGCATGTGTGCGGTAGCTAGATGCCAGGGTTCATGGAGACTGCGTGGACATGGAGGTATTGATCGTGGAGGCTTCGCTGCCTTCCCAGCTGCCCGGATCTCTGGGGCTGTGGGTTTCTTCTCTCTCTGTTGCATTTGCCTGCGTGTGATGCTTTTCTTTCCCTGTGTTTTGCAGCGTAGCTGGCCCCCCTGGCAGGCACGGCACATGCTTGCCTTCGCCCCTGACGGTCCATGATGGAAGTGGCCAGTGTCAAAGACTTCCAGTGGAAAACCCTGGCGCCTCTCCCCAGCCGCAGGGTGTACTGCTCCTTGGTGGAAGTGGGAGGGCAGGTCTTTGCCATCGGGGGCTGCGATGACAACGGCGTCCCCATGGACAGCTTCGAGGTGTACTCCCCAGAAGCCGACCAGTGGAACTCCCTCCCTCCCATGCCCACGGCCCGAGCCGGGGTAGCGGTGGCCACCCTGGGCAAGCGGATCATGGTGATCGGAGGGGTTGGAGTGAATCAGATGCCCCTGAAGATCGTGGAGATGTACAACATTGATGAGGGCAAGTGGAAGAAGAGGAACTCCCTGAGGGAGCCAGCGATGGGCATCTCGGTGACCGCGAAAGGCAAGGAGCATTTGTTTGCTACTGCAGGCCTATGGCTGGCAGGGAGGTCCCGGGCATGGGGAGCGTGGCGGAGAGGAGTGGGCTGGGCAGAAGGGCTCCAGGGGCAAGGGATGGGAAAAGGATCCCCTTTCCCTGGGAACGTGAACTGGGCCTTGTCTGGGGCTAGAGGAGTTGAATCAGTGGGCTGCCTTCCCTTCTGCGACATCCCTTGTGCAGGGAAGAGGGACCATCACCCTCACAGCCCTGACCCTGAAGGAGCTCCCTGACTGAAGCCACTGGGTTTTGGAAAGATAAACCCAGTGGCTCTCCCACGCCCCAGCTCTCTTGGTGGGCAGCAACCTCTGTTGCCCCCGTGATTATTTTTTATTCTGCCAGGCTCAAGCTTCACGCAGGAGTCCAGACTTCCCCAGGGTTTGGGTTCAGGCCCATTTCTACTCCCAGCTTTCTGTGCTTCAGGGAAGGAAGCTAAGAGGGGTTCAGGGGCCAGCTCTGTTTTTGAATACAACAGGGTCAAACTGGAGTGACTTCGCTTGGTTTGCCCAGGGCAGGATTGGCTGCCTGGGTTGTTTCTGGTTACATTTATTTCCAAGGCCCACTAACCGGGTTTGCAGAGGCACTGACTGCTGGAGACTTCACGGACATTCGTGGGAGTGAGGAGCATCTGGCGCCTCTGCAAACCAGGCTGCCAAGATCCCCTCGTTGCCTCTAACCCGGGGCTGGAGCCGCCGGAGCATCCCCAGGGTGGGCACCCCCAGGCCTGCAGCACCCTTGGGGCTGCACCACCTGGGCTGAGCCTGCACTGGCTGGGCTGGCTCCACACCCTGCACTGGCCCTGCAGCCGTGTGTGTGGGGCAGAGG